GTCTCCGTCTCCGTCTCCGTCTCCGTCTCCGTCTCCGTCTCCGTCTCTGTCTCTGTCTCTGTCTCTGTCTCTGTCTCTGTCTGTCTCTGTCTGTCTGTCGGTCTGTCAGTGTCTGTCTGTCCCTGCCTGTCGGAGTGGGTGGACAACTGTCTGGCCTCACATAGAATGCCTTGCGAATAGTAGTTTTACGATCACTAGCCGTTAGCCCATAGCTAGAGAGTCTATGACGGAATTTGCTGTTCGCAGGGTTTGCATGTGCGCTGAGAGAAGAACATAGCTCCAGTAGTCGCATTGGCCGACTTTTGTCAAGGCGCCTCTGCAGCTAATGAAACACCAGCAACGATCGAAAACTATTGCCCAAAAAGGTGAATCACATGCCACCAAGCTTGTGTGCTGTGGCTTGGTCTTCCCCATATCCAGCCCCTTGTCTTGATTACCAGTGTTTTTTTTAATAGACAGCCCTCTCACGGCAGGACAGTTCATCGGGACGGGTCTTCACACGCGCTCACCCTTCCTGTGGAGGCTATGTGTATCTGATATTGATGCAGGAGATTCTTTCTGTCAGTACCCCGGAAGTTTTCCTAGCTAAACTTTCTTTGACCAATGTCTACGGTTGAGTGTGTGCGTCTGTCTGTGTGTGTGTTGGTTGCTACCATGGCTACATGAACATACTACGTGGCTGTCAAATCCATCATTTGAACAAACATGAACAAACTACCGTTACTCCAACGGGTCAAGAAACCAAAAGTATTCAAGGTTCGGCCGGTGATCCAGCTGCCAGTGGTGGTGCACACGCTCCTGCCAGGCTTCTACCAGTGGGTGCGAAGCTTTGCTCGCCAAAAAACTGCTCCTTGGACAGTTTCGGACTGTTGTGAAACCGGAACCGCAAAAAGAATAATACATCCAATGATGTCTTGAGCAAACATGTATATACATTCTGGTCTCTCAGCTTGGGAAAATGAGACTCATGTTTGGCCCTGACTCATGGTTTGTGTAAAGAGTTTGGACATGCAGCCAGCAACCGAGGAGGAACGGCAATGAGTGGGGCAAGTGGAAAGAGTAGACTTGCAAACGAACCTACTTTATTCCACGTCGTTTGAGTCAACCAAATTTCGGTGTTCACGTTCTACAGCACAAACACCCTTCAAATGATCCTGCAGTGATGTTCTGGAGACATTCTCTTGTTGGTTTTGTCCTGCAAATGCCCTGAGAAATTGATACGTAAACGTGACTTCCATTTCAGTACAGTTAGTAAGAACGAAAGAGCCACAAGAAGGATGGAAAGTACAATCTGACAATCTGACAAGACTCATGATGGGAATCTCCTGTCCTGCACACGAAGCTGTCGAGTGAGTTAAAACAAAACAGAAACATGGAGAGTGTGTTCACAAATTACTGTTTGTCCCGATGACTCGATGCTCCTTTTTCTGGTGCAAAGGCAAAAAATCCATCGGCTGGCGCAGCTGCTTCATCAATCCAATCATCCAAGGGACGGCGGCAAAGAATTGTTGCATCTGCCCACACACCTAGCGCAAGCAGGGCCACAAAATAGTGTCCAACAAAATTTCAACAAAAGCACAAAATTATGTGTATAAAGTGGGTGCCCACTCAGTCGAGCTGGCCTTTTGAATACTAGACTCTCCGCAACACTTCAGACATGCAGGCCGTTCTGGTGTTCGACGGTTTCGGTACGAACACCCCAAAGCAAAACCATGCATTTGCCCAACTCCTGTCATTGGAGACTATAACATGCTATAACAATCTATAACATGATAATTTTGGAGAGAACAGTTTCCTTGATTCCTTCATCTTGACCTTGCTAAAGGCACCGTCAGGCACCGTGGCATTTGGAGGGCCTCCATAGCGCTGCAACAAGAAGATTCGCAGGACATCTGCTGCTGCTGCGGGAGGTATCCAAGACATCCCAAGCGGTGCGAGGGGATTGTTGGCCTGCGCTGGGCCGTAGCAAAAGCAGTAAAAGCATTTGCATAGAGCGCTCAAGAGCTTTGCTTCGATCTGAAAAAGAGAATAAACAAAAAACGACATATATAATACTAGACGACGGGTGGCCCGAGAGCGAGACATGTGATTGTCCAGCACTGTGGACAAGACATCGATAAAGAAAGAAAGGATGGACGTGAAGGAGTGACAGTGACAGTGTGGATGTGCAGGTGTCAGACAGATATGTAGATGTATGGAGGTGGAGAGGTAGATGTATGGATGCGAGCGTGCGAAGACGTAAATGGACAGAGGCGAGAGAAAAGATATCTTAGGTTCGTCAGAAGTCAGTCGCTCTTCAAACGGCTGAAGACGGCTGAAGACAAGTCAGTCTCATTTCAAGACAAAAACGAAGTAAACCGTCAGCAGGTCGAAGCGCACACAAAATGGATTTGTGCGCGCGTCATTCTGGTCCCAAAAACAAGCGGCGAGTAGAGATCCTGCGGGCAGAGGCTCAAAGCTAATCAATTTGACTTCAAGTATCAGACACAAAGAAAGTACGCAGTAAGTGTGCTTCAAGTCATCATCTCCACTCTCGCGGATAGGCCCTTCAAAGCACCAACACTGCGACCTGAGAGCGAACGACATTGCGATCAGGACAAGTGACTCGTGCGTTCCAACTGCGCATCGATTGTCGCCCAGGTGAAGTAGACACATATCAACGTCACGTCCCTTTTTCCGGCAGTCGCGGATCCCGTCGTTGAAGCGACGATGTCGCAGTTTCGTCCCGAACAGTCTCGACGGACGACCCGCGACACAAATTAGTCTCGGTGTGCAGCGCTGAAGTCTCTCTGCCATTCCGCGCGCAAACCTTCCAGGTGCCACAACGCTTCCAAGACATAGGGTCGATTGCGCCAAGGACGCATCGCTGGTCTCTTTGGAAGTAGCAACTGCACGGCTTCCAATGCGGAGTGCTCGTAAGCGACAACGAGCCAAGCGCACAAAATCCCCGCACTCCGATTGACACCACCAAAGCAGTGAAAGAGCACGCGCATGGATTTGTCCCCGGCGACCGCCAGCATGGACTGTTTCCATAACCGGTTGCAGACGATTTTCCACTGTCGCAAACAGGAAGCCACCAAGTCCGGAATCTGCTCAAGCCAACGCCTTGCCGGCTTCAATGTCGTGTCCTCCAAGTGACACTGGATGCGAAAGACATCTTGTTCTTGAAAGTATTTCGTCCAGTCGGTCGGTGCGCCTGCGATCTTCATCTCCTGCGCGCGCATGGTGACCACCACAGTGACCTTCAAAGACGTGGTCTCCACAATGTCTTCCAAGCTACACGCGGCTTTCAAACTTCCAAGCAACAGCGCTGCTCGATCCGTAGGCTTGTAAATGACAGCAGCATCCAAAGGCCACGCTTCTATGGACCTAAAGCTGTAGTCGTGTTGGTCTGTGACATAATCCAAAGCAGTCCACCGGTTCTTATCAGCATAAGCGTCTCTGATATCCTGCTCTCGCTGTGTTCTCCACTCGAGAGCTCATCACGCTCTGTTTCCTCCAAACTTCCACGCAGCCATTCCGCTCCCTGGTTAGCGGCATTGTTGCGCAACTCCTCCCGTCGAGCTTCTGCTACCGACCTTGCAGACGAGCTCGCCTGAAAGAATGCATCGGCTTACAAAGGAAAACACAGGCCCCATGAGCAAGAACAGCAACTTCCCACATCAGGCCAGCGTTACTCAACACACCACATACCCTGTAACTTTTTCAGCGCATACCTATCTATACCCAAAACACAGCGATTGGGCCTGCTCTGTTGGCGCCAAGGCTTCCATCACCGCAGAGCGCAGTTGCGCAACCGGCAGCCATCTGTCGCCTATCGTCGCTCTGATGCCTCCAGCACCTGCCAAGCTGCGCAGCTCATCACGCGCTGTTTCCTCCAAACTTCCACGCAGCCATTCCGCTCCCTGTTTAGCGGCATTGTTGCGCAACTCCTCCCATCGAGCTTCTGCTACCGACCTTGAAGACGAGCTCGCCTGAAAGAATGCATCGGCTTACAAAGGAAAACACAAGCCCCATGAGCAAGAACAGCAACTTCCCACATCACGTCAGCGTTACTCAACACAACACATACCCTGTAACTTTTTCAGCGCATACCTATCTATACCCAAAACACAGCGATTGGGCCTGCTCTGTTGGCACCAAGGCTTCCATCACCGCAGAGCGCAGTTGCGCAACCGGCAGCCATCTGTCGCCGATCGTCGCTCTGATGCCTCCGGCAACAGCTACACTGCGCAGCTCTACCGCTCCCAACTCTTGCAAACGTCCACGAAGCCATTCCGCTCCCTCGTTCACGGCATTGTTCCGGAACTCCTCCCATCGAGCTTCCGCTGCAGACCTTGAAGACGAGCTCGCCTGCAACAAGGCATACGCTCGCAAAAGAAAACACAAGTCCCATCAGCAAGAAAAAGTCACTTCCAACCTCACGCCGGCATTACTTAACAGAACATTTACCCTGTAACTTTTTCAGCGCATACCTATGTATACCCAAAACGCAGCGATTGGGCCTGCTCTGTTGGCGCCAGAGCTTCCATCAACGCAGAGCGCAGTTGCGCAACCGGCAGCCATCTGTCGCCTATCCTCCCTCTGATACCTCCGGTAACAGCCAAGCTGCGCAGCTCATCCCGTCCCAACTCTTGCAAACGTCCACGAAGCCATTCCGCTCCCTCGTTCACGGCATTGTTCCGGAACTCCTCCCATCGAGCTTCCGCTGCAGACCTTGAAGACGAGCTCGCCTGCAACAAGGCATAGGCTCGCAAAAGAAAACATAAGTCCCATCAGCAAGAAAAGGTCACTTCCAACCTCGCGCCGGCGTTATTCAACAGAACATATACCCTGTAACTTTTTCAGCGCATACCTACTATCTAACGCAGCGCGCAGTTGCGCAACCGGCAGCCATCTGTCGCCTATCCTCGCTCTGATGCCTCCGGTAACAGCCAAGCTGCGCAGCTCATCCCGTCCCAACTCTTGCAAACGTTGACGAAGCCATTCCGCTCCCTGGTTCATGGCATTGTTGCGGAACTCTTCCCATCGCAGGCCCTGTGACGCGCGTGGTGACTGGTCCATTATCACGGACAGTCCCTTCCAATAATAGAACAGTCACCGCGCTACTATGACGCGTGTGCCGGGCGTGCGACTCGAGCCAAAACCTTATTCCCCACGCATGTTCTGCTCGCAACCTGTGACCATTCAAACTTACAATGCCTTCACTAGCTCCATGCAAACATCCAAGGTCCAGACACTCCAACCACGGAGCTCATCCTCCATCCATCCTCCACCGACGCCTAAAGGCATTGTTTGCGCAATCACTGTTCAATGTCGTGCAAAACAGATATCCTCCAAATTCTGCATGGCTTTATGGAATGTCTTGCCTTGCAGCACTGACTCCAAGTAAGGCCCCAACCACAACCGTCACGTCATCGCTCGACGCAGCTCCAGGCTCAAACTCTTCAATCGCTCCACAGAACACCGTGAAACAACCCCTCGAACATGCGAGACATGTAATTGTCCAGCACTGTCGAAAAGATGTATAGAAAGAGAGAAAGAGAGGGTGGATGTGAAGGAGTGACAGTGTGATGTGCAGGTGCGATATAGATCTGTAGCTGTATGGAGGTGGAGAGGTAGATCTGTGGATGTGAGCGTGCGAAGATGTAAATGCACAGAGACGAGAGAAAAGCTGCGTAGAAAGAAAAGACAGGACAGATGTGAAGGAGCGACAGTGTGGATGTACAGATGTGATATAGATGCGCAGATGTGTGGGTGTAGTGAGGTGGAGAGGTAGATCTGCGGATGCGAGCGTGTGAAGATGTAAATGTAGAGAGGTGAGGGGGCGTAGACGTAGATGCGTCGATGCAACGGCAGTGCAACGTCAACCTTAGTTGTGCAAGTACAACGCTGAAGAGGTTCAAATAGAACTGAAGAACGTACATTCCACACAGAAGTTTCCACGAACAGGGCGACCTGAGAGTAAACGACGTCACGCTCATGACAAGCGACTCGTGTATTCCAAGCGAACATCGTTTGTCATGAAGGTGAAGTACACACATACTTACGTCACGATGACTCTTTTGTGGCAGCCACTTATGAGTAAGCAAAGCAGCTAAATTTTGTCAACTTCTCAAGAGAGCCGGGTGGCGCGAGAGATGATTCAGCCGCGACAGACGACCCATCCGCGTACTAAAGTTGTACTACGAAGTCGCCAGTTCTCCTCGTCCAGCTCGCCAGATACTCCGTGTACTAAAGTTGTACTACGAAGTCGCCAGTTCTCAGCTTCTAGCTGCACAGATTGCTCCGCGTGCTAAAGTTGTACTAGAAAGTCGCCAGTTCTCATCTTCCAGCTCCACAGCTTGCTCCGCGTACTAAAGTTGTACTACTTAAGTCGCCAGTTCTCATCTTCTAGCTCCCAAGATACTCCGCGTACTACAAAGTCGCCGGTTCTCATCTTCCAGCTCCACAGATACTCCGCGTACTAAAGTTGTACTAGAAAGTCACCAGTTCTCATCTTCCAGCAAAGTCGCCAGTTCTAACCTTCCAGCTCCACAGATTGCTCCGCGCACTAAGGTTGTACTAGAAAGTCGCCACTTCTCATCGCCGGATAGACACAAATCGCACTCTCACCTGCATTTCGCGCTCTCGACGCGCACGATCTCCGCAGAGGGTTGCGCCGGACAAATCCAAATCGCACTC